CGTTCATTGATGGTGGATTTCTCCTTCGAAAAGTAGTCTGGCCGCATAGGGCTAATTATTTAACGCTTTTTTCAACATACTTGGATTACATCGTAAACTACTACGGTAACGACTGCGTGGTCGTATTCGACGGTTACTGTCCGCAAGTTATTGGCACCAAGTCCTACGAAAGGTTGTGTTACTTTCTTTTCTGGTACATATCATGTGATTGTTATGAAACAAAAGTATTATATTATATTTTTTTCGGATATCGGCGCAAAGAAAAAATAGCAGCTGCAGTTGAGATCATGGAGACAAGTTTAGTAACTATGAGTCAGCAGAAATTTTTATCAAACATCATGAATAAATATAATTTTGTAGCTCTTTTATCTGAATTTTTGAAGAAGAGTCATGTAAAAACGAAGATTGCGGTCGAGGATGCCACTGTTTTGATAGTACAGACAGCACGTAATTTGGCAATCTCCGGAACAAAACCTGTGGCAGTCATTGGCAATAACATTGATTTATTGGTGCTCATGATAGCTTTAATCCCTTCGACAACAAACGCATATTTCCACAAAGTTGTCCCAGGTTCAAAGGGTAACGTATTGTATTCTATCAGTAACAATGCTCATCTGCGACAGTACGTGCTTTTTGCTCATGCCTTCAGTGGTTCGGATACCACAAATGCGTTTTTTCACAAAGGTAAAAAGAAGTTGTTTGTAGTGCTTGCAAAAAATACTTTATTAATACAAACCAGCGACATTTTCTGTAAATTATTTGAAGATTTTCTCGAGGAAGAGATGAAAACAGATTTTGCAATTAGTGAAGACGGATTGAGAGAAAAGTTTATTCAAGTTCTATTAGAGGAGGCAGAAAAAATAATTTTTTATTTGTACGAATCTCCATATGAACATGGTAGCAATGTAAATGAATTAAGATACAGACTCTTTTGCAAATCGGCTGACACTTCCAAGAAACACTTATCATTAGCAATGCTGCCACCAACGAGGGATGCTCTCAAACAGCATGTAAAACGTGTTTATTTACAAGTGCAAGCTTGGCTAGGAAAGTCGATGGAGCCCACGCAATGGGGGTGTAAAAACGCAAAAAATATATTATTTCCCGTAATGACCACGCAAACGCCTGCTCCCGATGAACTCTTGCGTGAGGTAAGCATTGCAATGGTATATTATTTCTTCATTCATTATATGTGTCTAGATAAACAATATACTTTTTTTCCTCAACAGATTTCCTGCGCTTGTCGTTCAAATTGTCGGTCGAAACAATGCACGTGTAAAAAAGCAGGTTTGCTCTGTACACGAGTATGCAAAATGTGTAACGGAGATAGTTGCGAGAATGCCTCTACCATTAGACAACAAATCCATAAATACGACTTGTTTGATGATACGATTGAGGCAGTTGTCAATTATCAAGATTACGATACCGATTCCCCTCACGATAATAACATTCCCTATACAGTAGATGATAGCGTCTATAATTTTGAAAGTGATTGACTCCAATTAATATAGTGTATTTATGTTACATATATTTTTGA